TGGAGAGCACTGATGTACGACCTCTTGTCGATGCCCAAGATCAAGCTGATTTCAACGCTCGTGACAGTGCAGCCCGGGATGTAATACTGCGTGGAGTTCCTGAAGCTGATGCAGAAATGATTTGTCATGAGGATTCCGCTAGAAATATGTGGACTCACTTCGAGCACAAGCAAACGAAGCGTGAGTACACTAATTACATTTTTGCCCGTGAGCAGCTATACTCAAACAAAGACACTCGAGATGTGAAGCTGAGTGATTGGTTGAGGGATATGGAGTTGCAGAAGCGTGAACTCCAGCATTATGGCAAAGTGATTAGTGATTAGGAGTTCGCTGAGATTTTGCTGGGCAATGTGTCACGCACACATCGTGATGTGGTGGGGCAGTTTTCACGACACTATGCTGTGCTTGCTTTGCCTGGAGCCCATCAGCTCGTACCCACAGCTGCCCATGTGATGAATGCTCTCCGTGCTGAGGAAGATCTTGATGAAAAGGTCGCTGAGGAAGTGCCTCGGTCCAGCATCGGGTCTACTAATAGGTCAAAGCGAACCAGAATAAACAAAGCGGTGGTAATGCTAGTGAAGGTAATGCCGGTAAAAGCAAGAAGCAGCGAGGCCGCGGAAAATACAAAGCCAAGAAGAAAACCCAGGACTGTAATGTCCAGAAGTCTCATGGTTGCCGGGAATGTGGCGAGTATGGTCACATCAAGGCAAATTGTCCTAATAAGAAGTCTGGAGATAATTCAGAAGGCCAGAATGCATCGGCAGGCATGGAGTCGAAAAGGTGGCAAAACAAGAAAGGAGATGTTGCAAAAAAGGCAAAGAAAAGTATTGATGCGTTGACACAGCGCAAGATTGGAGCGACTGTGGTCGGTACTCGGCGTCACAAGCCTTCGATGGTGGAGTGGTGTTAGATACAGCGACTGATGTACATGTGTGCACGAATAAGGAGTTGCTGACTGACCGCCGAACGGATCGGGAGCATATCTTCTTGGATTTCGATGGACAGCCAAAAGGAGACCGCACGGTAGGGACACTAAGTCTTCAAGTGATGAATACCATTTCGCATCATGAGGAAGTGTTGACTCTGGCTAATGTCGTCCATACTCCGATGGGACCTGATAATTTACTAAGTTCGGACCTACTGGAGAGAAACGGGTGGGTAGTGAGCTTCGAGCAACTAAATGGCAAGCGTGTTTGCTGCTTGGAAAAAGGAGATGCTACCGATGTAATGAAAGCTCATCTGGAGTGGCTATTAGCACAAGGCCATCGCATTGAAGTCTTCTCGACTGATCAAGGTAGAGAACTGGTCAATAAGAGACTGAAATCATTCCTCAGGGGGAGAGGAGTTGAGTTTCTATGAACGAATGCTTACAGTCCTGAGGAGAAGGGGATAGTCGAGAAAATGAATGGTGTATTGCTGGGGCATGTTCGCAGTTCACTGACAATGACCAACTTACCTCAAAGTATGTGGGGTGAGGCGTTTACATTTGCAGCGGAAGTTATGAATGTGAGCCCGTGTAGTACACTTGACGGAGACACCCCATACACTCGACGGTTTGGTGAGAGACCTGACCTTGAAGAGCTACGTACATGAAGATGTATTGTGCACGTGTTTACACCAAAAGTCCTGAGGACTAACAAGCTTGAGAACCCTGGCAAGTTGGCTCTCTTCATCGGTTTTGCTAAGAATTCTGAAGGATTTCGGGTTCTGAATTTAAGAACTGGTGGCATTCAAGAGCAACGCTCTGTGGAGTTTGACGAAGATTGGACTGTTGATGGTTTGTACGTGGAGCACGTGTAGGCAAATAGATATCAACGGGGTCGTTTTGTCCTTCCAGAAGTGATTCCTCTGGTTCGTTTACCGGTCATGGCTGCTGTAACACATGAAGTGTTGACCGGACCTCCTGCCAAACGTAAATGTCTTGCAGATACACATGGTAGTTCTGGATCTAATGTTGTGGTGGAGCAATATCCGGTTGGTGTGGGTGATCCTACGCTTGAACTGTCGAGTTCATCTCCAGTGAGGATGCCGTTGGCAAATGCTCAGCTGTCGCGTTGGGGTGCACCGCAGCAGCAAGATGAATGTGTGGAGCATGAACAGGAACTACATGAAGAGAATGGGGATCCTGAGACTGGTCTGGGTGTGTCTAACAGCCACTCAACCCCGCTTCGGGAATTGCCTGAATCTTTTCAAGTGCAGGTTGCAGTAGATGAGGATGAAGTGGAGGAGGAGGAGGAGGAAGCTGATGTTATCGCTTCCGGAGACCGAGTGAAGAGCGGTGAAGGCTCAGTGGGAGACAGTATATCACTGGCAAGTGATGGTGAAGAAGACGATGAGGAAAACAGTGGATTGGGGGCCTCATTTCGTCGCTCAACTCATGTTAGACAGCAAAACGTTCGGTTCAGTGACTACGAGATGGATCTTCCAGAACGTTTAATGACACAAGCGGTAAATGCTATACTGATGCAGACTTCCGTGAAAGCTGCTTTGGAGGCACCGGACTCAGAGAAGTGGGTTGGGGCGCTAAACAAGGCGTATAGTGAATTGCTGCGGAACAATACATGGGAATTGGTAGAGAAGCCTGAAGGAGCGAAGGTCTTGACAAGTAAATGGATCTTTGTCCGGAAGCGCAATGCTAAAGGTGAAGTGAAACGGCATCGTGCAAGGATTACGATTAAGGGATGTCAACAGAAGTTTGGATTGAATTTTTGGGAGACTTATGCCCCGGTGGTGAGTTCGGAAGCTGTGAGACTGATCCTTCTGCTGGCATTACACTATTGATTGCTTTGTCGCCATGTTGACTTTGTTACCGCTTTTCTCAATGGTGCGATTGACTGTGAGATCTACATGTACCAGCCTAAGATGGAACTGGACGTGTTTGCAAGCTGTTGAGGAGTTGTATGGGCTCAAGCAGGCCCCTCGCATATTGTACAAGATGCTCGCCAAGTATTTGAGAGAGTGCGGATTTCAGAGATCGAAAATGAACGGAGGAATATATTATCGTTGGGTAAATGACAGTCTTATCTTTCTGACTGTGTATATTGATGATATTGTCATTGACGGGACGAAGGAGAACACCGAGCTGGTTATGGCTGAGCTTAGAGATAAGTTCAAGGTGAAGGACCTTGGTGATGTCAGTCACTTACTTTCTATGGCGATCAAGTACGTGCCAGGCCAGATGCTGTCGATCTCGCAGAGTGGTTATGTTGCTCAGTTGCTGGAGCTCATTAAGATGGCCAATTGCAAGGCTGTGGCTACGCCGCAAGTGAAATGTAATTTCCCGCTCCCGGATGATCCGGAAAAGGAGCAAATTTGTGTGAACATAGATCCTGACCTAGACTACCAGTGTATAGTGGGGGTCATTGCAATACTTGGTCAGCTGCTCTTGCCCAGACATTGCGAATGCTGTTCGTATGCTAGGCAAGTTTCTCAACTGCTACACAAAGGAGCACTACGTGCTAATTAAACGGGTCCTCCGCTACCTACAAGGAACGAGAGACTTTGGACTGGTGTGGTACAAACTAGAGTCTCCTGGAATGGAACTAGTTGCCTATGCTGATGCAGACTTAGGAAATGAGAAAGGCGATCGCCGTTCGGTCACAGGATATGTGCTGCTGTTGCATGGATGTGTTTTTGCGTACAAAAGCAAAAAGCAGCCGATCATGACGGACGACACTTGCAGCGCCGAGTTTGTTGCTGCTAGCGAGTGCTCCAACATGATAATGTGGACGCACAATCTGTGTACTGAGCTGAAGGTTCGGCGAACTAAGAAAACGATGACAATCAAGCTGCATTTCAGGTGATAAAAAAGGTGCGAAGTGGCTACAAAGTAAAGTGCGTGGATCTGAAGTTTCACAAGATCCGTGACTTTGTGGAGCGTGGCGTCTTTGAAGTGACGTACTGTCCACGTGAAGAAACTGTTGCAGATATTTTCACGAAGCCGCTTGGTCCCCAACAGTTCTGCAGACTACATGAGCGACTCAATGTCTTGCCAGTGCCTGAATGAGCGCTTGAAGATCAAGTAAGACCGCAGCACGAAGTGGGAGTGTGAAGTATTGTGCTACGGCGGTTGACTTCGGTCGTATTCGACTACTTGTCCCGTGAGCGATGGTGTATCTGCGGTAGTCTATTTAAGTTCATTTTAGTATGGGATACTGGAGCCTTCTGATAATTGGAGTCTGCCTTAACTGCAGAGCTCCCGCAATCCCAAATACGCTGAGTGGGCGAACAGTGTCTTTGTCGGACCAGTTCTGCGCTCAAAGTCACACATACTGCACACACACAAAGATTCGCGACTTCATAAACTCAAATGACGTTAGCAACCCGGATGTGCGCTCCAGCGTTCGAATCCGCGCGCGCCTGCTCTGGATGAGCGAAGGTACTGTACGAAGCTTTGATCGCACCGGCAATTCAGCACAGTTGCATTTTCTCCGCCTTTTTTTCGGCGAGGAGCGGGCGCCGGAGCCGATCGAACAACAACAAGAGGTACGACTCCTCGTTCTCACACTGGATGAACGTAATGTAAACGCTCTCATTCTCGTCGCAGGAATACCAGGACGCCCAGAAGCAGGACGCGATGCAGGCCAAACAGTACCTAATCACAACGTCCTTGTGCCAGATCGATCTAGCTGACCCACGTCTCCCAGACGAAGGGTCCGTGATCACGCTTACACCCACGAAGATGAGGGTCTACCGCAACTGCGTGCAGCTTGACACCAAACTGCACAACATCACGGTCGTGACGAAGCCACTCAATCCCTGAAGGCTTGGCATGTGGTACCTTAGTCTTTCTTTCATTTCATCTCATGAACCGTTCAATAACTACCTGCTCGTTGTAATCAGGTTTATTGGGGCGAAGCCCCCCCCCCCCCTTCTAATCATGTGACTCTTATTTACTTACCCTTTACTGTTTTTACGGTATTAGTTTTTGAAATAGGTTAGGGTTATAATTTATAATCGTGCGTTCTGGGGACCAAACTTACGAATTTTACCTCTGTTGAAGAACCTGCTCTGCGGGAAAGGTCAGCCAGCTTCAAGCTTTAAGTACAAAAAGGGCAGGTGGGTCTCCTCTAACGAATGAGTTAACAGCCACTGAAACGAGGGTTATTTTTAGTGCGACTGTTATGGGGGTGCTATATTAGAGAGCCTAGGATTTGAAATAACACGGTACTTTTTCGAAATTGTCGCGTGGCTTCTGTAGCCATCCTCCGGTGAACCCATATTTGCTAAAAATGTATCCATATTTGGCAGTGTAGCCATTAAATGAGAGACTAAATGAGAGAAATTCATTGCAATCGTTTATACTGTAAGAAGTCACAAGGGTCCAGGGCGGCCGTAAAATGTAAAAACAACGTACTGACATTTTGATTGAATTTTGTTAGCAAGCATGTTGAAGCGGTGTGGGGGGTCTGCTCGACTGCTACAGTAGAGTAATTTAAGCGCTGACAAATTGGCCGAGCTTAACGCTGGTGGGAGTAAAGATTTAGTTGATTGCATGGTGCGGCTAAAGACGCTGGAGCGACCGTCGCTAAGCGAGCTCAATAGACGCTCCGAATCATGAAGACGAAGTAAAAGCATACATAAGGCTGAAAAAGCTAGAGTAAACGTAGTTATGCAGCATATAAGCAGATTCATCGCTTCCGTTACTGCCAACAGGTGCAGATAAAGATGTCTTATCTTCGTTCTGGAGCGTAGAAAATTGTAATAAAGAGCCAATCGCATGAAATCCAAAACCAAACGTAACGTACTGATATGCATGTTAAAGCAGTCTACTGCCAGGATGTAATCCCGCAGCCGATTGAACTTGCGACCTATTTTGCAGAGTTCTCACTTTTGCTTTTGCACTTTGGAGCTCAAGCTCGCAGCCCTCGCAAAACTTCGCCTTTACTACCCGTACACAGTCGGCATGGAGTTGATCGACCGCCTGCGCAACGCTGTCCTGCAGCAACGAGAGGACGAGGTGTTGAACTTCTTCACCAAAGTGAGCGACTTGAGAGACTTCATTTCGGCTCGAGAGCCTGCTGGCGTGAACGTCACTGCCAAGATGTGCTGCTACAGCGCCGAACGATTGAGTCAGGATAACGGATCCCGCATTACACTGAGGAACGTCTATGCTCAGCCGATGTTCAACGAGGTCCAAGAAACGCTGAGCGAGCTGAACTCCGTGAACCGCAAGCCGTTCATCGCCCAGATAACAGTCTGGGATTCGAAGAAGAAGATCGGATCGCCTAAATCTGGGCGCGTGCATTTTCGTGTTGGCGCTGTGTACGAGTTCAAGCAAGTACATAGTGTCGGCTACTTCTCCGACATTGCAAAGGGCAGTGTGCAGCTTGAGGAACGCACCCCGGATCGGGTCGTGGAAAAGTCGGCTCCGCTCCTGAAGCGCAAGGTTGGACAGGAGCCGTTGGGACGGCGCCCCAAAGCTTGAGCTCTGCTCCAAAACGACGAAAACGAAGAGCAAAAGCGTGGCGAAGGTGGGGACACCACCGGGAGTTCGAGTATTCCTCGATTGGAGTCTGCTTCGAGTGGTAATATTCCACGGAAACGGGGTGCTGCTGCTGCGCACGGGTAACGACAGCAGAACACCGAAGTGCTGGAGCTGGAACAAGGAGTTTGTATCCTGCCGAGACGAATTATTGTGCTCCATTCATAAGAGTTTAGTTTGCATGATGTAACGTTAGGGAGATCATGAGAAGAACGATACTCGCAGATGTACATGTATTGGTTGGACAGCTCGCACGACATTAACATGACCGATCACTATTGTACTTAAAATTGTGAAAGGATGACGTGAAGTTATTTAAGCGAAGTGGGTGTGAGAGTGGTCAAGGGGGTTGCTTGAAGTGACACTGAAGCTTACGAAGACGGCAAATTGTCGCTCATCACTAGAATTCTTCTAGATCGCACCCAGAAAATTTACAAGCCCTTGGCGACTGCGAATCTCAACTACTTTGATTTTTTTAAACACAAACACAAAACAGTAGAGGTGATGCCACGTCAGCAGTCTAAAAATGGATCGGCCGCCAAATACCACCACGAGCGATGGAGTGCTAGACCTGTATGTGAAATGCGTATGAAAATCCTTCTGAATTTTTTAGTAATGAACTGTTCAAAGCTGGTCGAAGAGCATAGTGCTTTGCAGGCTCTTACGGAGTACGAATCAATTGACCAGAATAAAGGTTTTTTTTAGAACCAAACGAGTTCTCAACAAGGTAAGCATCTGTAATTAATAAAGACTACCAAACTTGTATCTAACATCGTTTGCAGGACGAAATTCCTGAATGCAAGTGCAATCGTGGTGAAGATTGGACTGAAGTTTGTGGTATTTGTTGTGAAAATCGCTCGGTACGCTTGATAATTGATTAAGTATAGCAACATTATTAATGATTGATTGTTGTACAGATGCAAGTCGAATGTGTACGAGGCAAATGCGTAACTGGAGGTCCTAGTAGCAACCAGCAAATGTAAAATGGTAGCAATGCTTTGCTTTCCGTAAATAAACTTCACGACAAGGGGATTTCTCTATTTGCAAGCCAGCCAGTTTTGCCCGGCGCCTTCGTCTGCCAGTACACGGGAGAAATAATTAAAAGCTCAACCTATTTGCGCCGGGACAAGGTAATAAATTGTGTAAAATGATGTAACGGGCTCATTATTAACATTCTAGGTTTGATCTTCTTCATTAGGAGTTTAAAGGATCCACCAACTACTACGGAATGAGTCTCACGAAGGGCGAAGTTATCGACGCCCGTGCTTGCGGTGGCATCGCGAGATTCGCGAACCACAGCTGCAACCCTAATTGTGTGGTCGAGCGCTGGGAGGTGAATGGCGAAATCTACTGTGGCTTTTTTCGCCAAGAGGTTTATTGAAGTTGACGAGGAAATTACGATTGACTATAGAGGGGGAAATGCAGCTACGAAGGTAAGAAAGTGTTCATTGACACACTTATGGATGGTGGGATAGACGAAGTAACACGAAGGAATGCTATTGAAGAGCAGGATAAAATGTCTGTGTAGAGAATCTGGTTGTCGAGGATTGATACCGATGTAGGGCAGTTGAAACAGCGTTCAGGCTTGATGCAGTGTTATGGTATGTATT